CCCCAAAACCCCAAAACCCCAAAACCCCAAAACCCCAAAACCCCAAAACCCCTTACAAATATCTGAGAGAATGCTTAAATAATTTAAAATAATCAATCCTGATTATAACAAAGCATTATATTTGATTTAATATAATTATAATTAGGTTAGAGATGTTGATGAATGCAACATAGAGTTTTAAAGAACCTTCTTCTAAAACTATACTTCAGACAAAAAATCAATTTGTTAATCCAAGGCAAAGGTTTAATAAGACTCTCAAAATTTCAAGTAAAAATTACAATACAAATCAAAGTTACGCCCATGTAAATAATAACAATGCGGGAAACAATAATCAAATGACCGCAGGAGGAATAGATGAGCAAAGATTTCAGCTAATTGTTAAAAACTCCTTAATAAGCCCCTATAGCAAATAATCCATAGTGGCATCTAGCACTAGCAATATCAATAGCTATGCAAATTCTCCATAAACTAATAGAGCATCCCTTAAAAGCCAGCAGCAAGGTACCTTCTCAAAGCAGCGAATGTCATAATAGTTTTTTGGCTATGATTTCAATTCAACTTAGCAGGATTTTCTGATTGAGTCTAAGGAATTTATATAAAATAACCGTGATTCAGCTCTAAAGAACTATAATCATAATGATACTATTTACAATTCAAAGCAAAGGATCTTGCCTGATTTGAATAATATTAAATCTTAGATTATGTTCAGTCCATAGAAATAGCAAGCAGCTTAAATGCTCAATAGAAACTAATCTCAGATCAGACCTAGCACTAATTTTGAATATTAAAATAATCCCTCTATTTCAATAAAGAGCAAAGTGATTGGAATAAGATCAAATTCATTGATTAGCATCGATGATACTATAGCAGCTACTTAGAGGAGCTTCAATCATAATCCTAGACTTAGAAAAGGTTATGCTCTGAAGGCTGCTTAAAAGCTGTCCTCTTAATACCAAATCTCTTAAAACCCTAAAAATGGAACCATTTAAGACCTTAATATTGTTGTAAATAAAATGCTGATTACTACAAGATAATGAATGAACTATTTAAGTCTGACTTTGATTTCTTTATTTCTAATTTGCTAAATTCTTTGAATATCATTGTTGATGGGGTTTTGGGGTTTTGGGGTTTTGGGG